CACGGTTGCAGACAGTCCTCCTTGACGGAAAGTCATAATATATATGTATATATGTATGTTTATCACATTTGCAAATTTGCAAACCGAAGCTCTGGGATCCCAGGGCTTATTCAAGGCCCGGCTTTTCATGGACGTTGTTTCGCACTGGAGCGAGGGGCTTTCCGCGGGGAGAGGAAGAAAGGAGGCGTTCTTCCCCGGGCACAGTCTTGCATGAGCGACATTGACAGTCGGTTTATGACCATTGCTCGGCTGCGCAGGTCATCTCTTCCCATCATTTTCGAGATCACGCCGAGACAGCCGCGGCCTTGGAGCTAACAAGGTATTTACCCTGTGGCAGCAGGGGGTCCAATACGGTAGCCGACTTGCGCAAGTCGACCACCGTATTGGACCCCGATCCGGTAGAGCTTGAATACCATGCAAGATCTGTGGCAGTAAAGCAACGTATTGCATGTCCATTGCATGGTGTCCCAATACCCTAGCCGACTTGCGCAAGTCGGCCACCGTATTGGCCCCCCTCGGTTTTGCTATCCTGAAGTGACAGCCTGCCCTGCTCCTCCGGCCATGGCGAAAAAGGCGGGCAACAAAGATTCCAAGCCGAAGGACCCATTCAGTCAGACGAAGGTGTTGACCTCAGAATCTCCAGTGTCCGAAGTGCCAGCGCCTACACCCTCCAAAGCGGCGCCAATGCCGATGTCAGCTCCCCCTGCAGTGGCTTAGCTAGCATTGCAGTTGGCTGTGGAGACCGCCGTGTTGAATTTGTTGAAGCCTAGAGACCTTGGCACCCCAAAGACTTCAGGTTGATGTGGTCCCGACTTCAAAGCCATCGGCGCCGGCGGCACCCATGGAGGCCCCGATGAAGACGTTTCCTGTCCTGCCTCCTTGGGACAACGCCAGTAAGCAGATTGGCTGCTTGAAGATCATGAAGGAGGTGGTGCAGTATGCGCCTTTGCCTTCTTGGGCATATTCTTATTGGGCCGGGATTTAAGTTCAGGCGGCTGTGTTGCACACTTCTAGTGTCGCGAGGCTTCGGGGCATGAGACCAGACTTCGGCATACAACAGCACAGCAGCGAGCTTCAAGTCGAATTTGGCGGAAGGAGGTTCCAGCAACATACATAATCAGAAGTATTCTGCTATTGAACCTATCATGTTGACTGAAGACATACATATGTCTGTGCCGATGCTGTGCCGTCAGTTTCAATACCGGTGCTTGCTTCTCTGAAGTCGGTTTCCCTTCACGCGTGGCCTCATCTCCTGCTGAATCTGTTCCCCGTTTAGCACACTGCAGGTGCACCAGGAGCTCCCGCGCTTTCTCAAGAACATTGACAGTGTCAAGGCAAAGGGTCAGTGCGAGCTCAAGGACATTGCCCCACTGACCATCCCAACACTGTCAGAAAAGTTGCAGGGAAACTTTCGTGAGCAGTGGCGGCCGGAGAATTGCCAGCGCTCTATTCAGAGCTCTAGCATGTACGAGGCGGGGGGCTCCTTATTCTGGTTAGAGCCCATTGTCAGTCTTGGCGGCTGGACAAGCGGCGAGGCCATGCTTGAGGAACCCTCGTGGTGGGATGTGTATCACGCGATCAGTGTCACGTGTCCGGAGGATATCAGTGTCAAGGAGCGCTTGTACTTCGGGGACCCCTTTCTGACCTTCACAACAGTGTCACCCGACGGCGTTCGCTTTCCCGCCAACCTCAGGGTCATGAGGGGCCTGGTCCTGGTGCACGCCTGGTATGTCACCATGCTGAAGGCCATCCAGTGTCAGAATCTGGAGCGCATCGAGGCCCTCAGCATCATGGCGCTGACAGTGTCAGTCCGCGTGTACCATGACCAGAAGGACAAGTTAGTGTCGTTCTTCGTGCTCAAGTCGCTGCAGAACTCTGAGAAATCCAAAGTCGCCAGTGTCTGCGACAGCCACTTGCCTGAGCATGGCTGTCCTGTTTGGTCTCGTTTTTTTACTTGTCAGTGTCGCCCCCCGTAAGGTTTTCAGATGTGGGCCAAGAAGCTGTGCCTCCTGCTGAAGGAGATCCCGCAGTGCACACAGCCGAAGCTTCTGGCTCTCTTGCAGCAGAAAGGCCTGAAGTACAATGGGTCCAATATCAACAAAACCATGATGCAAGCAGCGACAGCGCTCAACGCCCTGTTGAGTGACAGGGCTAACGAAATCCTCCTCAGTGTCCAGCGGGAGTACGGCAGGGACGTCTGGAGCAGCGGCTACAACAAGATCTCCAGAGTCGTTCAGCTCGTGACCAAGCAGGTCACACTGTGGAATTTGCCCGAGGACAGCGGTGTCAATGTCCAGTTTGTTTTCGAGTTCGTCCTCGAGTACAGCCTCATGACCCTTCGCCGCGGAAATGCCGGTGCCAAGTTCTTCAATTCCACCAACATCGAAAATGGGGAGAACGGTGGCTGGACGGCTGCCACGTGCGTGAAAGCGTTTCTGGCTCACCACCTCCTGCGACTTGCCACGTCCGCAGCCGAGAAAGAAGCCGAGTTGATGAAGGCGGCCACAGCAAACGACAAGGACAACAAGGAGGACAAGGACGACAAGGACGACAATGTCAAGGACATCCCGCGGCCGAAGAAGGACACCAAGGAAGCGTTGGAAAAGGTGTGGTGCCCGCTGAAGTACGACTACAACAATCCGAAGCCGGCCAATGCTGAGGGTCAGGAGGAAGAGGCGGGGCCAGTGTCACAGGAGGCCGAGGAGGACCTGGATGACGAGGAGATGGACTATCTCAAGGAGGTGACTGGCTGTTTGCCAAAGTCCGGCAAGTTGGCCGTGGAACTTGTGCGCGACCTCTTCGAGGCGGAGCACGAGGCCAGTGTCAAGAAGCTCGTCATGGAGGTTGACCCGGCGAAATGCTTGATGGAATGCCAGGAGAGCAAGAACGAGTTGGCAAAGGCCTTTAAGGCCAGCGTCATGGGAATGATGAGCGGCATGACTCCAGTCTCATCGGGTGCCCCGCCAGTGTCATTGCGGACGCTCGTGCGGAGAGCGTCCAATCCGGACGAGGAAGACAGCCGCAAGGAGCAGGAGCGGCAGAAGATCTGGGCACAAGCGCAGGCTTTGCGTAAGAAAAAAGCCCAACTGGCGCTCTGGTCGGCCAAAACCACTGACAATCTTCGTGGCTTGCTCGACAAGATGTCGGGCGTGGCCCAGTTCGAGAAGGGCGCTATCAACGAGTGTCACCGACTTTGGGTGATCTCTGCGGACCTCGCCCACGAGGCCCCAGGAAGCTGGAATCGCGCTCCGGCGCTGAAGGATGACACTTTGAAGAACGTTTTCGAGTGTCTCGCAAAGTTTCCTATGAAGGAGTTCGATATGCTCGTGGCCTTCGATGGATGCGTGCCGGAGAATAAGGCGACCCTCCGTGGTGGCATGGAGGACGACGGCAAATTGCTTGAGTTCATCATTTTGTTCAACGACCGGCCCCGTCAGTGTCGCCAACGCAAGATCTTTTGCGGGTCGGCGAGGGTTGAAGCTGCCACGATGAAATTGTGGACGCCCAGGGTGAGAATCAGTGTCACTGAGAGGTCGGACGACTTCGTGCCACCCGCAGCTTCAGAGACGAAAACCAAGAAGAAGACTAGGAAGCAGACGACCCACGACTTGAACAGTGTCGGAGTCCCGCCTGCCGCTGGAAGACCTCTCATCAACGGCGTTGACAAGGCCAAAATCTTTGAGTGCAACGAGCCCGACGGATTCAGAGGCTCTGCTTGCCCCATCTTCTGGGCAGAGACAAAGCCAGTGTCATACTGGCAGACGCTGCTGAGCTCCTTGCAGGTTGGGCAGGTGATAGATCTCACGCCGGGAAGCGGCGCACTCGCCGAAGCTTGCCTCCTGGACGATGTGCCGTATGCCGGCATCCTCCGGGACCAGATCCACTACAGCTGGCTGGTCAATGTCTTGGACCGTCAGTGTCTGAAACTCCTCGCAGACAGAGCCTTGGACCGCAAGCCATGGTCATGCGCATATCCGTTGCGTCGTCTCAATTAGTACCGTTTCCTAATAAATGTACCAGAGGCGAGAGCAATCTGTATGACGAGAACCTTTCGGCGCTGATCACTGAGCATTTTGCCGACGTTTTGTCTGAGCTCAACGAAGCAGAGCTGGAGGCCGAGGATGAGGACTCCGACGAGTGACAAGCTTAGGCAAAGTACATTTTGACGGGTTCGCGTCGTGCCTTCAACTGCTGATGGGTGGAATTCAGTTCAGTGTAGGCCTAAAACTCAAGACTGGCAAGCCGCAAGCAATGCCTTTATCCTTCGTACCTATATAGAGTAATTGTCCAGCGCATACGTTCGAATACGCAGTGTCAGCAAGGCAGACGAAAGCTCTGTAGTTTGAGAAATGGACATAGCAAACACTCGCTGGGGTACGGAGAGTCCCACTCAACCTACTTACAGATCAATTCCAACGTGGCTGCTCCAGCGGTTTTGTCGCTTTGCGCCTGTGGTCCATTCACTAAACGACATTCTCTGACAAGGCTTCTCCCAAGGAGTGCATAGGGCTCCAGAATCAGAGTGACTTTGTTTTTGTCTGGTATCGACAAAATTACTAGGGTAACAACACTCAATCATCGTTACAGCTCTTCAGAAATCAATCCTGGAGGGGGCTTGTCAGGGGCCAGTGTCACATGATTGCTTTCCTCGGGAAGCTTGGTTGGAGTGACCAAAAAATGATGTCTGCCATGCAAGCGCTTGTCATTCCCGCCAGTGCTTGACAGCAGTCATACAACTGATCTGTGCAAGCTCTCAGTCAGACGGCAATTAGAAATTGGGGACTGATCACTGCTTGCGTGGGCGCGGTCATGTCATCGGCATTGTGAATTCAATAGACACTGGCTTTGGTTCAAGGCTCACTGTTGAAGTTCTGTAGTAGGCGTTGAATCTGAACTGCTCGTCACAGCAGCTGGCAACATCCATGTGCAGTGTGCAAAGGCTCCGGCTTGATGGCATGGCCATGTGACATAGTTTGAATCGTCATTGTTCAGTGTCCGCCATGGTTTCAAAGCATGATGCTCGCACAGCCATCGCGTTGTCGGAAAGCTGGCCGGGCCCAATGCTGTCCCGTGCAAAGGCAGCCAGGGAGATATGGCTCTCCGAGCACGGTGTCATTGGAGAGCCGCCCATTGATGCCTGCTCCACACTCATGCTGGGCACGGACTGCGCTGGCGCCGAAGCGCCTGTGTTTGCCCTGAAAGGACTCAAGTTGCCTTTTCAGCACCAGTGGGCAGCAGAGATTGCTCCCCACGCACGTGCTTTCATCACCAGCACCTGCGCTCTCAGCCCGGACCGTTTGCTGGGCGACATGTGTTCTCGAAGACATCAAGACTTGGACACGATCAGCCTTTACGTGTGTGGCTTTCCATGTAAGCCTTGGAGCAGGTTGAACAACCATTCCCGTCACTGGGATGATCCGAACGCAAAGCCTTTCGAGGCCGGTCCCACGATCAGCTTTGTCCAGTTCTGAGTCGTATCTAAAGATAGAGCCTTGAACCCTTCTGTCAAAACTCCTGGCAGGCGATGCTGGAGACCGTCCAGGCAAAGCGTCCCAGCATTTGCATTTTCGAGAACGTTGTCGGGATCCTGCCCTTCATGCCGGAGATCCAGGGTCGAATGCCTGCGGCTCTCCCCGAGTACCACATCTTTTGGACACGACAGTGTCCGACAAGTTTGGGTCACGCAGTACGAAGGCCCAGGATATATTTCCTGGCCATTCGCAAGGATGCCAGTGTCATCGAGGATGCTGCTGGCCTCTGCTGCCTGGGAAACTGCTTGCTTGGGAGCCTCCGCAAGGACTTGGTCGCGCCCCTGGGAGACCGGCTGTTGCCCAAAACCCATCGCTTCGTGAAGCGGTTCCTCGACCAGCAGTGTCAGAAGTCTGAGTCTAAGGGCCAGGAGAAGAACAAGCCAAAATGGAAGTCCCAGCAAGTACGTGAACGACAGCTCCTGACATCCGAACAACGTCAGTGTCCAGGCCCTCCGAAGATAGACGGCCACTTGACTGCCAGGCAGAGAGGGGCTTGGGAACTCGAGTGGAGACGTCAGTGTCATGCCAATGAGTCCTTGGCTGTGGACGTGAGCCAGACCGCCGGCAGATGCCCTTTCGGCGTGGGCGGCCTTTGTCCAACATTGACGCCTGGTGGCAAGGTGGTGGTAGCCAGTGTCAAACGGTGCATTTGCCCTGAAGAAGCCATGCTGCTGCACGGCTTCCCTTTCAATGCCATTCAGGCATCGTCAGTGTCACCGAAACAGCTGGCGTCTTTAGCAGGAAATGCAATGCATGTGGAAAGTGTGGCCGCGATGCTGGTCGTGGGGTTGTCCTTGTTGCGGGTGAACAGAATCAATGCTTCACCCCCTGCAGTGCCATGGTCAACTTCAGTGTCAGCTTTCCTCCAAATGAAGGCACATGGCGTTGATGCTGATGAGGGTGTGGCAGTAAAGAAGGTGGCCAAGCAGGTGCCCAGTGTCAAGGAGCAGATCGACAAGGGTGCCGCGAAGAGGCCAGCTAAGATGATTGCCGTGAAAAAGATTGCAACAGCTAAGCCCAAGGCATCGGCAAAGCAGCAATATCCGCATCGCAAACTGAGCGGCCATTATGGCAAGCCGTCAGTTTTTGAGAAGGCCAGTGTCAAGCCGAAGAAGTCTCGTAGGTCTTAGCTGAGACTTGCATTTGTCATCTGGAGAATGACTGAAAGTCAAGATTAGTACTTGCCAGGTGGGATCTGGCGGAAAAAGGCAGCCATGTTCGCCGTTGTAGATGCCGCGTCAGTGCAAGTGCCAGCCATTGAAATTCAATTGTCGTGAAGTGTTTGCGATCCCCAAGGCCAGATGTTTCCTGCTGTATGGCGGCAGGCGCGTGAGGGTTTTGGGGTAAGCCTGTGTCATCGTTGGGGTTTTGGGCGTGAACATAGGCGCTGCCGTTGGGGTCTTTGTGGCGGATTACGGTTGTCAAGCGTCAATCCGCTTAAGAAGGGTGTGCATTGAGCCCTAATTGTCAGGGGCAAGGACAGTCCTTGTTGCTAAGTTTTTTTCAGGCTGACTGTGAGGCTTGTTTAGTATTAAGTTTTGCAGTGTATTCGACATGAAGGTTCAGTGTATCACGGATTTTTCAACGGTGCCATTTCTTAGGGGCGAGGCCAACATGAAGCAAGGGGTGCGAGTTCGGAGCAACTTCGCAAACAGTTCTAAGGCAGCTTGATCAAGGTCAATGGTTTTGAACGTGAAGATAGAGGTTCTCAAGTATTTGCTAAAGGTGTGCGAATTGCGTGCGACTGCAAGTGTTTAGTCGAAGGGTGCGAGTTGGGTGCGAATTGTCAGGGGCCAAGCAAAAAGCCAGTGTCCTTGTTGGGATTGTGGGTTTAGAGCTGACGGTTTTCAAGTGTGTAGTCGAAGGGTGCGAATTGGGTGCGAATTGTCCCGGGCCAAGCAAAAAGCCAGTGTCCTTGTTGGTTTCTGGGTAGAGCTCACGGTTTTCAAGTGGTACGAATTGTCAGGGGCCAAGCCATAGGCCAGTGTCCTGGTCGGGTTTCTGGGTTTAAAGATCACGGTTTTCAATTGTTCAGTCGAAGGGTGCGAATTGGGTGCAAATTGTCCGGGGCCAAGCAAAAGGTCGGTGTCGTTGTTGGGTTTCTGGGTTTAGAGCTGACGGTTTTCAAGTGTTCAGTCGCAGGGTGCCAATTGGGTGCGAATTGTCCGGGGCCGAGCGCAATGCAAGTTTCGTTCGTCCTTGGGGTTTACGGTCGTGGTTTTCAAGTCTTTCGTCGCGGTGTGCAGATTTAATATTATGGCATTTAAGGACCCCAGGAAAAAATTGCAGTGTCCTTGGGGGTTTCCCGTCTGAAAGCTACGCTTATCAAGTATCTGCTGCGCACGGGTGTGAATTGGGAGCGAATTGTCAGGGGCCAAGGAAACAGCCACTGTTGTTGTGGGTGTTTGAGGGTCACGGCGGGGCGTGTTAAGTATTAAGTCACCTTGGGTGCGAATGGGTTGCACAGCATGCAAACACATATCAGGCTGTGTCGCTGGTGCTGTTTTACGCTGTAAAATTAAGCTCATCACTTATTTCTGAGGGCTGCGAATTGGGTGCGATTTATCAAGGGCCAAGCAAAAACCGACCGTGGTTGGGTGGTACAGTAACTTTTCTCCATCTGCCGGGGCCAGGCAAAAGAAAGCAGCAGTGTCGTTCCTGGCTGGTTGGGCGTGGAGCTCAGGGCCAGGAGGTATCAAGCGAGGGGTGCGTAGTGGGTGCGAATTGGCATTTGCTAGGGAAATAGCAAGTTTTTTGTGTCCAAATCTTACTGTTATTGCCAACTTTTGCTTCGTGGAGCTCAGGGCCAGGAGGTATCAGGAGAGGGGTGCGTATTGGGTGCGAATTGGCATTTGCCAGGGAAATAGCAAGTCTTGGAGTCCTAATTTGACTATCTTTGCCAGCTTTTGCCTGGTGGAGCTCGGGGCCAGGAGGTATCAGGGAGGGGTGCGTATTGGGTGCGAATTGGCATTTGTGAGGGAAATAGCAATTTTGGTGTGTCCAAATTGTTCTCTCTAGCCTGGCTGCTTGGGCGTGGAGCTCAGGGCCAGGAGGTATCAAGGGAGGGGTGCGGAGTGGGTGCGAATTGGCATTTGCCAGTGAAATAGCAAGTTTTTTGTGTCCAAATCTTACTGTTATTGCCAACTTTTGCTTCGTGGAGCTCAGGGCCAGGAGGTATCAGGAGAGGGGTGCGTATTGGGTGCGAATTGGCATTTGCCAGGGAAATAGCAAGTCTTGGAGTCCTAATTTGACTATCTTTGCCAGCTTTTGCCTGGTGGAGCTCGGGGCCAGGAGGTATCAGGGAGGGGTGCGTATTGGGTGCGAATTGGCATTTGTGGGGGAAATAGCAATTTTGGTGTGTCCAAATTGTTCTCTCTAGCCTGGCTGCTTGGGCGTGGAGCTCAGGGCCAGGAGGTATCAAGGGAGGGGTGCGGAGTGGGTGCGAATTGGCATTTGCCAGTGAAATAGCAAGTTTTTGTGTCCACATTTTACTGTTAATATTGCCAACTTTTGCTTGGTGGAGCTCAGGGCCAGGAGGTAGCAGGGGAGGGGTGCGAATTGGGTGCGAATTGGCATTTGCCAGGGAAATAGCAAGTCTTTGAGTAGAATATTACTGTCGTTGCAGCTTTTCGGGTAGCAGGGTTGTGTAGCTAAATGGCAGTTGCCAAGCCAGTGCTGCAAATTATGTATGGCCTGACCTTCAGATTCAGTACAATAATATCCTTCTCCTTCATAAAGTTGTTCAGGACGTTCTGGTGGTATATTGCATTGACAGATCCTTCCCAAAGTGTTGGAGTTAGCCAGTACACAAGTTGAGAATTTCCTTGCGTACTTCGTTTGTTCGCTCAGACAACAGCTTTTCACCTGCGTCCAGTGGGTGGCTCTGTCTTCTCTACGTGCATCAGCCCTGAGGCTGAGACCTAGAAGCCGACAGCGTCGCGGCACCCGGGGCTGCAGAGGCAGTGTCGCCCACAAATTATGGTAACTGCTGCAGTGGGCCTGACAGTTTCAGACTCCGGTCTTGTTGAACAAAGTTCTGCATCAGAGCATTTTCGAGCTTCACAGCGGGGCCCGCCTAGACGTATCTGAGCTCCGCTTCCGGCACTTCTGTGACTGTCAACCGCCATGACTTTCTACATGTGCTGCCCCGAGAATAAGACGTTCCGTGACGTGAACATCCCAAAGGGCAGTGTGATGCACTCTTCGGAGATTGCTGCCATCTTCGAGGCTTTGCAGCATTCAACATGTCCGTGTCAGTGCCAAGTCGTTTGCATTGGGGCCTAATTCACGTTCCATGTACCAGTGGACGAGGTACTGCTGGTCGAATAGATAAAAGTCTAGGAATCACAAAACACACATCAATAAATCCCCACAGCCGAGTACAACGTCAGTGTCAACGCCAAGAAGCTGGGATTCACCTTCAGCATGAGTGGAAATACGGCGCCTGACCACGCCTCCTCCTCAAAGATCGCGAAGCTTTTGGGCCCCAAAAGCTTGATCCGTCTGGAGCTTTCGTCGACGGCGCAGAATGAGTTCTCGAAAGGAAACCTCGCTCCCTCAGAGTCAGGCAGCGGTCTCCTGTTCAACCGGTTGACCTACCCGGGCGAAGGCAGCGGATTGGCAAATGTTCGATTGGTTTCCGATTAACGCTTCCAAGTAATGCATGTGCAATCCTTCTGGTAGTTTGTTTGGCGTCAGGCATCTTCAACAATGTCATGTTGAAGAAGCAATGCCAGCTGAGTGTGGAGACCATGTCAGAGTGGGCAGTGAAGGAACCGGACCAGGATGCTGCGCCCGTGACGGCATTCGAGTATTTCGCAGTGTCAGTGTGTCGCCTCGACACTCTGGACAGTGTCACGAAGAAGGACTCCTACCAGGAGATTTTCGCGTTCTTGGACAAGAACACGAAGTCGAGTGAGCGGGTTTCGATCCCTCTCAGTGTCAAGGACACCGTCGTGCTCTTCGACTCCAGTGTCGCGGCGCTGGCAGCCATGCACATGCTGACACGGGGCTTGGATGCTGGAGAAACCAGTGTCATTAAGATCCGGTTCAGCATCGACTTCCTGAAGACCGTTCAGCTGAAGGTGGTGCCAAGTTCTGCCAGTGTCGTTTCCTACAGTTTGCTGCTTGCAGAGACACCAGCGGAGTTGGAGCGCATCATGAATGGGGCGTTGTCAGTGTCAGGCTTCATTGCCAAGTTGACAGTGTCAGAAGGCCCGAACTTGTATCAGGATGTGCGTGACCTGAAGCTGAAGGATGCCGAAAGTATGTTTCTTGGCCGAACACCGTTTTCATCTGTTAGAGTATGATGCCATGGCTATAAGCATTCAGCAAGTTGCGACTAGCTACATTTTCAGTTTCAATTAACCAAAAACTTCAAGTGCAGCAGGAAGCGCCGTCGAGTGGAGTTTCTGAAAGAGGAGATCGCGAGCATTGAGCCTCAGGAGGCTGCTCCGACTACTGAGTCGAGCATTTCGCCTCTGGAGCCTCCGGCTACTGAGTGAATCAGTGTCAAGCTGTGAGTTGCCCTGCTTTGAATTTGAAGTGGTCATTCTTCCAACCGAGCTGCTTAATAAACCAACCTAGACTGACTCTTAGCTTCACTCAATGTCAAGGGCAACCAATGCTTCGGCCGCAGGGGCCTTTTGGGCCATGTGGCATGGCATAATCACCGTCGGCGTGCCAGTCCGTGTGATTTCTCCAAATCTACAGATCCCACAGCCGGTGTCAAAACAGTGCGAACATGTCACGTGTGCTTTTCCGCCGAAGCAACCAAGCTCATGCCATGTAAACTCCCAAGCGTAACATCAACGGTTCGCTGCTGGCTTCGGAGTTGCCTTCCCAGTGGTTTTCGACAGGGGTGCGAGTCGGAATTTGCCAAGCAAACAGCCAGTGTCCTTGTTGCATTCGTGGCAGCTGTTTCTACTTTAACAGCTGCCAAACAAACAATGTCAAGAGTGAGGGTTATCATGAAGTTCATTCGGCTGCCAACTGCTTGCGAAGTGTCCGATCCAAATCCTAAAACTCCTGAACTCCTGACCGTACATCAGGTTGTTTCGGTCCTGTCTTGTTGATAAGTTTTAAAGGCAATAACATAATGGGAAATCAGATTGTGGTTGAGGTGGTGCCT